ATACTATTGGTGTGGTGGTGGTGGTGGTGGTGGTTATGTACCGTGGAGTCGGTTATGACTCATAGAGACCCTGTATAATGGGAAGGAACACAGAAAAATAAACTAACAAAATAAACTGAATTATTTCAGAGAGTGAGGAGTGCATTGAAGGGAATGAACTGGGTGGGAGATTAGGAGGAGTGGAGACAGAGACCAGGAAGAGTGACCCCTTTAAGGTGGTAGCATGTGAGCTAAGATCTCAAAGAAATCCTTCCAGAGAGAGGAAAGAATAGCTCGAATAAAGGCTCCCAGAGAAGCAGTTGGCTGTTTGAGAAGCTATAGAAGTGTGTGTGGCTCAGGCAGAGGGGACAATGAGGAGGGCCTTGAGAGACAACACCAGGAGTGATGGAAAGCCAGGTCATTCAGCACTTGTGGGCCATGGTGAGGAGTGTAATTGTGTTCTAAATAGATCAAGACCTATTTTAAGTTAAGGTGATGAGATTACATTTTCTCTAAAATTTCACTCCAGCTTTGGCCAATTATATAAGAGATGTCGAAATGGGGGAATAATAATATCTCTCTCATGAGGTTATTCGAGGATTAGCAGAGGAAATGGCAAAGGCCTAGCATAGTACATGACCCCTCATATGTACTCTTAAATGGCCAAAATATATTACATTATGAAACTAAATATGCCCTTCATTGCATTTAGAAACTAAACATCTCCTTCATTACATTTAATGCACTGCATTAAATCACAGCTTATGAGCTGTTTTTTTTCACAAGACTCAGAAGTTCTTGACTGCAAATACTATGTAATATCCATCATTGTTTTCTCAGGGCTTAGTACAGGGCCTGACTCATAACAGGGACTCTAACATATGAATATTTGTTGAGGAAGGGGATGAATGAACAAATAAACTTTTTGTTATGAATGGGGAAGGCGCCTGCCAGACAATGCTTTTGCTCGGTATTAATGGATGTAGAGAGGATGGAGATTTTACTTTAGAAAGTGGGTGGGTAGGTAAAATACCCAAGCCATGGTATTTTCAATAACCTCATACGGATGTGAAAGCTGGACAGTGAATAAGGAAGACTGTAGAAGAATTGATGCCTTTGAGTTGTGGTGTTGGAGGAGAATACTAAAAGTGTCATGGGCTGCCAAAAGAACCAATAGATCTGTTTTGGAAGAAGTGCAGCCAGAGTGCTCCTTGGAGGCCAGGATGGCTAAGCTTCGTCTCTCATACTTTGGACATATTGTCAGGAGGGAACAGTCTCTGGAGAAGGATGTCATGCTTGGTAAGGTGGAGGGTCAGAGAAAAAGAGGAAGACCCCCAACGAGATGGATCAGCCAGGTGGCATCATTGATGGCGTCAAGTGTGGTAGCGGTGGTGGGGTTGGCCCAGGATTGGACATTTTTCGTTCTGCTGTGCATGGGGTCGCTATGAGTCGGTTCTGACTCGATGGCACCTGACAACAACAACAAGGTAAAGAGGAGGGTTGATTCTTTTCATCAGGACTTTGATAACCTGGGTTCAGATCCCAGCCACTTGTTTCCATGCAACTTCGAATGCAAAAATAAATGCAAAATTGTAAAAATGGTCCCAAATTCTTTGTAGCTACCACAGCATCAAGAAACAGTCTGTTTCCCCATCCTGTGAAGCTGAGCTGGCTTTATGAATTTCTTTAGCTAAATGCGATGGAAGAGCTGGTGGTGTACAAGTTCCAAGCCTATAAATCTCCAGAGAGCTTTCAGCTTCCTCTCTCATGCTTCAAACCTGAAGCTAACCAAATTGAGAATAAGCAACCACATTAAGTAAGGCCTTAGCCATTCCAGTTATTCCCAAGAAGAACAAAACACAGGGCAGATCAGGATTTCCAAGCTGAGCCCAGCCCATGTTTTTAACATACAGATTTGTGAAAAATAAAAAAAATTATTGTTGCTTTAAACCATTAAGTTTTGGGATTGTTTGTTATGCAGCCATCCAGCTAACTAATACAGCAGATTAAGAGACAGAAATCCAACCCAAAGACAAGTCAGTATGGAAAGAAAACCCCAAAACCAAAAAAGGAGGAGGAAATGCAAACATCTGTGAGCGCCAAAACATAAATTAAGGTCAAGATTCTTCTCTTATGCTAAGTGTTTGTAGTATGTAACTCTAAAGTTGGAATGGGGAGGATACTCTAATTTTTTCTGCTTTATAGAGATGGTTGAAGGAGCTCTGGTAGCGTAGTGGTTACGAATTGGGCTGCAAACCTTAAGGTCAGCAGTTTGAAACTACCAGCTGTTTTGCAGGAGAAAGATGAGATTTTCTGCTCCCATAAGGATTTACAGCCTCAGAAACCCTGTACAGGGTCGCTATGAGTCGGAACCGACTCCACGGCATATAATCAGGCAATCAACCAACCACAGAGATTGTTGAAACTTTGGTCATTTTGTCCCATACCTGTCTCACTACTATAAAGGTGAAATTTTGTGAATGTTAAGGTGTCAATGGAAGGAGCCCTGATAGTGTAATGGGTTGAGCTGGGTTGCTAACCGAAAGGTCAACAGTTCGCATGTGCTACTCACTTTGTGGGAGAAAGATGAGACTTTCTGTTCCCATAAAGATTGACAGCTTCAGAAACCCTACGTAGGGTTGCTATGAATCAGAATCAACTCAACAGCACACAATCACCAAACTGCTAATGGATAAAGGGTAAGCACTGGACTGCTAACTGCAAGGTCAGTGATTCAAACCCACCAGCTGCTCCTTGGAAACCCTAGAGGGGGTCAATATGAGACAGAATTGACAACACTTAAAAACAATAAAGTATCAACGGTAGCAGACATCTCTATCTCCCGTCATAAACCTATGAACAGAGCAGGTGGCTGGTTGGGTCTCAAGAGATAGAAGCCATCATTTTTCCAAGTTCTCCAAGTCAGATCGCAGGTGGAAATCAATCACTCAAGAGTATCACAGGCTTGCTTCTCTGCAAATCTGAGATGGAGATTAGCATGAACAAGACCTATTAGGAAGTAGTTTCCGAATCACTACTTCTGGAAGAGAAAGTAAGGAGGCAGGATGGAAAAAGAAGAGGTTGGGCTGTAATACTACCCAACCAAAGGCCATACCAAATCCACAAGAAGCTCTAAAGTTGGGATGGCCCTGCAGCATTGTCCCTATTTGAGACAAAAGCACTGAGACTTTATAACTACATGGACCAGTCATTGAATGCAACCTGCCCCAGAGGGTGTGTGCCCTTCTCAGCTAAGGGCAATACCTGGAGAGGATGACAGTGGTGGGGGGTCACCAACCAGCAGCATTCCAACAGCTTATTCCCCAACTTCTAGGTTTTCACAATCTCAAACTTCACCTCAAGTTCTGCCACCTCAGAATGAAAGCTATTTCCTGCAGGTACAATTTCTAAATTGGTTCTGTGCCTGCTGTGTGCTTTTTCCAATCTTCAGCCCCTGTTTTAAGTAGTTCTTTAGACTAAGCCTTCTAATGCTGCTCCTATCTTCCTGACTGGACACTAGCTGGTAAACCTCTCAACACAGATGACTCTAAATTTGTCAGGGAGGGCAGGTTAGGGGTGACTGATTCTGTGGCCTATGGCTCACATATAATCTAAAGAGGTCAAGTTGGGAAATACCAGGAACACACCGTGCTTTCAGCTGGCACTTACCTCTAAAGTCATCGGAAAATACCCACATCTTGGTATAGAAATCAGGAATGAAATAATCTGTGAGCATGTGTCCTTGTGGAAACCCCACAGGTGGGAACATGTTTGAACTCTTTGAGCCCCTTGGAGCCCCAGTGTAATCCAGTTAATGTATTTCTGACATAATAATGTACTACATGGCTACTTTGTGTCTAATGTCATGTAGCACTGACTCAGGTTCAGGGATAATTGGGCTGAAAAGCAGTAGGTGTGGGTATTGAAGGAACAAGAATAATACCATGATTTCCTCTTTCCATTTTTCAGAAAGCGCCAAACCTGCTTTTCAGAAAGACTGAAATGCGAGGGACCAAAATCTGCTGTTTCTTATGACCAGTTCAGTACATCCTAAATGAACATTGTCCATCAATCAAGCATCATTCGCAATTGTTATTTCTCATGCGTACCCATGCAAAAAAGCTGGACAGTGAATAAGGAAGACCGTATAAGAATTGATGCTTTTGAGTTATGGTGTTGGAGGAGAATATTGAAAGTGCCATGGGCTGCCAAAAGAACCAATAGATTTGTGTTGCAAGAAGTGCATCCAGAGTGCTCCTTGGAGGTCAGAATGGCCAAACTTCGTCTCTCATACTTTAGATATATTGTCAGGATGGACCAGTCACTGGAGAACGATATCATGTTTGGTAAGATGGAGGGTCAGAGAAAAAGAGGAAGACCCCCAACGAGATGGATTGTCCAAGTGGCAGCATGGATGGACTCAAGCGTGGCAACAGTAGTGAGGTTGGCCCAGGATCAGGCAGTGTTTCGTTCTGCTGTGCATAAGGTCGCTATGAGTCGGTACCGTCTTGATGGAACCTAACAACAACAACCAGTCATTTTGGTTAGGGGGATGTGTCTGAAGTACAGTTCCCTGACTCTCATCACCAGCACAGTAAGAAGTAATTAGAATACAGACCCACTTCAGTCACTCAGAGCACATTTTATTAACAGAGAAAGACCACGATGCACTTTATTAATCTCACAAGGGGAGTTTAAAGCCTGGAAACCACCACTCATGTAGTGCACCATGAAACTGATTACAAGCAAGAAGCAAAACATCATTATCACTAAAAATCCCTCACTGATGACAATTCTTCCTCCCCCCAAAAGTATTAAAGGCTTCAAATATATATACAAATCTAAAAATATGTTACATTTCTTAATGTGAAGACTTGATTATTTTTAAAATATATTCAGCATTATCTCATAGTCCCAATTCTCCAATTAGCTCTCAAGAAGCCCCTTTGTTTCTGTTTCCACCTTCGATACTTTCCATTGTCCTGGAGCAACCTGGAAGCTGGATCAAGCCAAGGTGATCGTTAGGACGCCTCCTCTGCAGCTCTCTTGTGCTGGCTCCGGAAGAGGCCCTCAGTGCCCAGGGACAATTCCTTCTGTACGTTTGCTGTGCTGGTCTGTCCAGCAACTTCGATCCAGGGGTGCTGAAGAACCTGGTGGGCTGTGTAACGCTTTTGGGGGTCTACCACCAGCAAGTGGCTCACCAGATCTTTGGCAGCTGTTGGGGTATCAGAAGAAGGGGGAAATGAGATGGACTGCATTTTTCTTGCCCAGACATGAAAACAAGAAAGCAAGAACACAAACATCCACATTAGCAACTGGGGGCTGGCTAAATGGCTCTTCTGTACTCCAGAGCAGCGCTGTCCAATAGAATTTTCTGCAATGAAGGACACGTTTTGTATCTGTGCTATCCATTTACTGAGCCTTTGAAATGTGCAACTGTGAAACTGAATTTTTAATTTTATTTACTTTTAAATGTAATATAGCAGCTGTCATTGAGTCAATTCTGAATCATGGCGACCCCATGTGCTTCAGGGTAGAGCTGTGTTCCACAGTGTTTCCAACAGCTGTGACCACTGAGAAGACGATTACTAGGTCTTTCTTCCAAGGTGGCCCTGGGTAGGTTTGAATCACCAACTTTTCAGTTAGTAGTTGAGTGTTTAACCATTTGTGCCACCAGGGACTCCTTACTTTTAATTAGCTTACATTTAAATGTATGGCTAATGGTTACCATGTTAGACATTGCAGCTCCCAGGGATATTTGCTCATTTCTCTAGAGTCATGAGGCCAGGCACCCAGGGCAAAACAACAAAGAGAAACCATGGTCTATGTATTTTCAAGTTTTAAATCAAATAACAAGTTGTTAAATAAAATGCAGTCCATCTTCCTATGTTAATAAATACAGAGTCCTGTTGTGGCGCTACAGAATAATGCACTAGACCACAAGGTCAGTTTGAATTGCAAGGTTAGTGATCCAAACCCACTAACTGCTCCTCAAAAACCTTAGACAGGGTTGCTATGAGTCAAAATTGACTTGAGGGCCCTTAACAACAACAGTGCAGTTTAAGAACTGCAGGACTGAAAAATATCAGAAACATATACCCCTCATTTGGAAAGATAAAAGTCATTCCCTATGTAGAAGTGATTGTGAATTGAAGAGACAGAAAGTGATTATTTTGCAATGAATGATCAGGGACTAAGCAGGGCATATTTGGAGCCCAGAGCTCAGAAAGGTAAGGGATGAAGGTCTCAATGACTTCTCAGTGGTTAGTAGCCCAATGCTTATTCTACAGCACCACACCAGAACTCCTAAACTGCATTAAAGGAAGAACATTTCACTGCGTGACTGCAATTGGTGGTTAGACTTTTCATTAAATCTCAAAGCAAGTTATATTTTAGAGTGCTACATAAATATGCATGAGGCTACTGAGAAAATAAAGGAGGAGGCACAACAGGTTGACAGTCCACTGCTTGCCAAGTACCATGGTAGGCAGGCTATGTGCTTTATTTCATATGCGACCTGAAAACCTCAGTTTTGCAATTAGAACCTAGAGATGTATGCCTGCCCTACATCCCCTCTCCATCTGCTTATGGAAGCCCCAAATCTCACCTTCAGAGATATTGTCCCAGTAAGGGGTGAGGAACTCGAAATGGCCCAGCTGGATGATGTTAAAGAGCTCATCCTGGTCCCTCTCCGGACTGCGGAATGGGGGGAAGCCACACAGTAGGATATAGAGGATCACACCTGCAGCCCACATGTCCACCTCCAGCCCGTAACCTGCACAACAGAGGCAGAGACAACAAGGGAAACTGAGAGCAGGCTGGATAAAACCTGATTAGACAAACCATGGAGAGTCTTAGCTCTAGACCCCAAGTTAGAAGATCTCAGGTCTCCGAAACAAGAACCACTTCCAAACACAGGATTTTACTGCCCAATCATACTTCTGTTACCACCTCCAACAAACATGGGATCTACATCAGTGCTGCTCAAAGTTTGGTCCACAGAGAGATCCCTGCCACTTTCTGATGTGTTTATTATAGTGTAGTGGTTACGAATCGGGTTGCTAACCTCAAGGTCAGCAGTTCGAAACTACCACCTGTTCCACAGGAGAAAGATGAGACGTTCTGCTCCCGTAAAGATTTACAGCCTCAGAAACCCTGTGCAGGGTCACTATGAGTTGGAACCGACTCCACGGTACTTAACAACAACAACATAATAATAATAAAACACAGAGTTCTGGTGTGGTGCTGTGGGTTAATGAGCTGACTGCAGTCAGTTTAAACCGCAAGTTTAGTAGTTCAAGCTCACAGCCACTCCTCAGAAACCCTATACTGGGTTGCTATGAGTTGGATCTGACTTCACAGCACTTAACAACACCAATGATAAAATTAGGACAGTAATTACAAGTTAGCATGTAGAAGCTTGTAGAGCAATTGATGTGACTGTGATGTCCAAATGCATGATGAAGGTACTCCTCTCATTGAGCAGGGTGTAATTCACTTTGGTTCATAGCGAACAGTTGTGGTAAGTCAAATGTAGAGTGAGTTGTATTTTCTTCATATGTAGTAAGAATACATAGTGGTTCAAGTTGTACTGAAAATTTTAAAACCCAGATTTTCACCAGAGAGAGTTTGAGAAGCGCTGGTTTACAGCAGCAATCCCTATTTCCTATCCAACAATCATTTTCTCTCTCATTTAAAAAACATCATTTACTGGCTTTGTAAAATAATGATAAAGAGACTGATGTTTTCTACTAGATGAATTCCTCCCCCCATTCACACACATCCACACATATTTATATACTTTCTTTAGCAAAATTGGGATCAGACTGTATATACTTTCATTCTCTATCTTATTTACTTACTATTTTATCCTATTTCTTATATAAGAAAAAAATTTCAAAAACATGATTCCTAATGACTTTACCATTCCCTTTCAATATGAATCCCCTATTTGAAATTTAAATTGTTTCTGATATTTTGCAATTTGAAGTAAATATGTGATGAGCATCTTCATGTATTAACTTTTTACGCACATCTCTGATTATACTACAAGGCTTCAAAAAAGTTTGTGGGAAAATTCCATTATCTTTTTTTTTTTTTTTTAATGAAGTTTTTTTGGAATTGGGTGAAGGTTTACAGAGCAAATCAGTTTTCCATTCAATAATTCATACACATTTTGTTTCATCTCATTGGTTGCAATCCCCACGATGTAACATCACTGATTACCCCACTTCCTCCCTGCGTTTTCTGTTTCCATTCCTCCTTCTTTCCTAACGCTTCTGAACTTTATCCTTGGGTAAATGCTGTCCTTTTTATCTCAAATACTTGATGATTCTAAGTTTTGTGAACCTGACTACTGTTATTGTTCCTCTTCCAGACTAGTCTACTATTTGGCTGAAAATAAAGCCATGGGGTGAGTTCATTTTCAGACCTGAGAGGTAACTAAGGGTCATAGTCTTACTCTACCAGTAAGTCTGGTTTCTTTGGGTATGATTTTGAGTTTTCCTCCCACTCTTTCTAGGACAGTCTATTGTGGTCCCTTTCAGATCAGTTGGAAGTGGTAGCAGGTGGCACCATCTCCGAGGCCTGCAGACTGATGTTCATGCGGTCCGTTCATCGATTTGACTAATTGTTTCTATGCATATTAGATTTTCATCACTCTTGTTTTCTCCAGACACAGAGAGACCATAGTTGTGCCTGAAGTCCATGATCTTTTCATTCCATTTTTCACATTTTTAGAAGTCTTCTCTTGTTATTAAAATAACGTTGTGGAAAAAAATAAATAACGTTGTGGGAATAAAAATGTACAAAGTAATACACATACTATCCAATAAAACAAGCCCTGGTGTGGTGCTATAGGATAAATACTAGACTGGTAATCACAAAGTAGGTAGTTCAAGCCCACCACCCACTCTCTGGAACCCTACACAAGGTCACTATGAGTTGAAACTCTCTTGATAGCACACAACAAGGTTCAATCAAAGCCAGCAAAGTTGTCAACAGTAGTATAGTAATGTCCCAACACTTTCTAAAGTTTATTTACCTTAAGAGAGGAAAATATTAAACAGTTTAAATTTATGTTTGAGGCCTTTGTGGCTGTCACTGTGTCAATCCATCTCATTGGGGGTCTTTCTCTTTTTCAATGACCCTACACTTTACCAAGCATAATGTCCTTCTCCAGGAATTGATCACTCCAAACAACATGTCCAAAAAAGAAAATCAAAGAATTGCCATCCTCACTTCTAAGGAGAATTCTGACTGTACTTCTTCCAACACAGATTTGTTTGTTCTTCGGACAGCCTATGGTTCTATCAATATTCTTCACCAATATATTCATACTTCTATGGTCTTCCTTATTCACTATCCAACGTTCACATGCTTATGAGGTTATTGAAAATACATGACTTGGTTCAGGTACACCTTAGTCCTTAAACAGATATCTTTGCTCTATAACACTCTTAAAGTTTGTTTTTGCAACAGATTTGTCTAATGCAATGCGTCATTTGGTTTCTGGACTACTGCTTTCATGAGCACTAATTGTGTATAAAAGCAAAACCAAGTATTTGACAACTTTAAGCTTTCCCCTATTTATCATAATGTTATTTATTGGTCCAGTTATGAGGACTTTTGTGCAATTAACATTGTGGGGCAGTCTATACTGGAAGCTGTAGTCTTTGATATTTATCAGTATTTTAAGTCCTCTTTGCTTCAGCAAGTAAGGTTGTATCATCTGCATATCACAGGTGATTAATGACTTTCTTTCCAATGTTGATATCATGTTCATATAACCCAATTTCTCAAATTATTTGCTCATCATACAGATTAAATATGTATGGCGAAAGGGTACGTCTATGGCATACGTGCCTTTCCTAATTTTAAAACATTAAGTAACCCCTTGTTCTGTTCTGTTCTGTTCTGTTCTGTTCTGTTCTGTTCTGTTCTACAGGTTCCTCATGAGCACAATGGAGTGTTCTGGAATACCCATTCTTTGCAATGTTATCCATAGTTTGTTATGATTTACACAGTCTAATATCTTTACATAGTTAAGAAAGCAAGAGAAAACATTTCTGGTATTCTCTGCTTTTAGGCAAGATCAATCTGATATCAACAAAGATATCCCTAGTTCCATATCCTCTTCTGAATCCAACTTGAATTTCTGGCAGCTCCCTATCAATGTACTTCTATTATCAGTTTTTAATTATCTTCAGCAAAATTATACTTCGCATTAATGATATTGTTGATATCATTAATATTAATGATATTGTTCAGTGATTTCTGCAATCTGTATGGTCACTTTTCTTTGGAACGGACACAAATATGGATCTCTTCCAATCAGTCGGCCAGGCCACTGCTGTCTTCCAAATTTCTTGACCTAGACAAGTCAGAGTCTCCAGTGCTGCATGAATTTGTTTTTAATGTTTTTATTGTGAATTGATTTAACAGGGCAGATCATCAGTTTTACATTCAACAGGTCAAACAACTTGTTTCATTACAATGATTACAATCCCCTCCATATACCATCAGTAAACAGTATTTCTCTCTATTCATTTTAGCTCTTTCTTTTGTTTTTTTAACACTCAGGCATTTATAATAATTTACACCACCAAAGGGCACATTCTGCAAGTCTCCCTCCTGGCCACCAGCTCTCAGTCCCTCAATTCCCATGAATCTAGAGTCCTCAGCTGTTCCCTGTCTCCATAACCCCATCTCTGTCTCCCTCTCTGGTGTTGCTGCTTCTCTAGATAAGGTCACGCATTCTGCTTGTGCTCTTCTCCTTTGATGGTCCTAAGGTCCTCTGTTTCTGGACTATAAGATTAACTACTCCCCCATTTTTGTTACAAAACTTCTACCTTTACAACTGTGACAGTCACAATTAGTCATGATAACAATTGCTCACTATTGAATCATAAGAATCTTATCCCCATCTTTTTTTACCAGACCCATTTAGACAAGATGAAAACTATTCAGTGGAGACTCTATCTTCCCTCACACACTCTTAAACTATACTCCCTCTTGAAACCTTGTAAGCCAGACACTTCCTGCCTTTATCACCCCCTCATTTACCCTGCATATGGAGGGGATAGCATTGATACTTGATGTAAAGACTCCTTCCCTCTCTGTTGGTATTTAGAGCTACTACCTCCATGAGTATAAGTCAAGTTCATCAAATTGTGCAATCCACCTCGTTTCCTTTATCAAATTGGTTTTTTGTTGCTCTTTTTTTTTTTTTTTTTAATCTTCCTCCAGTCAAATTCTGAACATCCAGACATCGAGGCTAGGTCAAAGGGGTACTATCTGCAAGTTTGGGTGTTGTTGTGCATCTCCCCTCTCTTCATATCAGCTGGATGCTTCACTCTCAGCTCTAGGCCTCTGTGGCTATGTCCTCAGGTCTCACCACACTTTGGACCAATCAGCCCTTCCTCTTCTCTCTCTCTCATCTCCAGGTCAGCAGGAGTCCAGGGAACGTGGTTGAACTCAGCCCATTTCTTCATTGCTGCCTTTCCCCCTCTTCCACTCACCAGTAGACCTACATGGTCATCAGCAAGCTTACATGCTTGCTCATGTGTTCCCTTTGAGTTTCAGTCTTAGAGGGGGGTTTGTCCTGAGGGAACTTGATTGCTTCCTGGCAAATAACTTGCTTATTCTTGTAGTAGCCAGTCATACTATCATTTTTGTTTTGGATTTTTCCTGGTGATCTTTCTTTGAAGATATATCATCTGTCATTCTAGCTGTTCCAGGCTGATCTGCTTGTCCTTTCTAGTGGGAATGTCCCAACCCAAAAGGTTCTAGATGTGACTCAGGATTCCACCTAATTTCTGTACACTGCAAAGGCTCAGCAAGAGGCCTATTTCACTGGGCAAGTTCTTGAATCCCTTTTAGGTATGCCAATCAGTTACAGGCTGAAGACTGGCTTACAAGCTTTCTGTAATCATGTTTCTCAACATTCTTTTCTATTCCAGTCAAGTGTCTATTTTACAATAGTAGGTAAGGGACATTGTTGCATCAATTTGTTGAAACATTTCCATTTATATTCCATCAATTCCTGAAGCCTTGTTTTTCACCAAGGCCTTCATTGCAGCTTGGACTTCTTCCTTCAATAACATCAGTTCTTGAACATATGGTATCTCTTGGAATGATTGAGTATCAACCAAATGTTTTTTGGTACGGTGACTCTGTGTATTCCCTCCATCCTCCTCAGATATGTGTCCAGCATCATTCAATATTCTGCCTATACACTACCTTGAGAAACGCTGAGTGTGTTCTTCCCTTTTGGCTTTCTAAAGTCCATATCTTTACATATTTCATTCTAATATTTCACTTTGTCTTCTAGAGCTGCTATTTTAAATTTTCTGCTCAGCTCTTTTACTCCTCATTTCTTTCTGTTACTTTAGCTTCTCTAAGTTCTAGATCAAGTTTCAGAGTTTCTTCTGACATCCATTTTGGTCTTTTTCTTTCTTTTCTGTCTTTTTAATGGCTTTTTATTTTCTTCCTGTATGATGATACTGACGTCATCTTACAACTCGTCTACTTTTCAGTCATTAATGTCTAATGCATCACATATGTTCTTGAGATGGTCTCTAAGTCCAGGTGGGATATATTTAAGGTCATATGTTTACTCTCATGAACTAATTTTAATTTTCTTCAACTTCAGACTGAACTTGCACATTACCTGTTGTGAAGTGCCGTCGAGTCGGTTCCGACCCATAGCGACCCTGTATAGGGTTTCTGAGGAGAAGCTGGTGAGCTTGAACCACTGACCTTAAAGATTACATAGAGCAGGTAAACTAACTATCCTGGAGTAACCAGTCAATTATTTTTTTGGAGCAACATAAGAATAATAGTGATTTATTTTTTATATCCTCTACAGAACACGTCACTTAAACAGTTCATTGAATCATCATTCAATACACAAACATATTTTCTAAAAACAGTATTCATGGCATTTTAAATGCTATCTCCATTTAAAATATAAATTTGGTAGAATTTTTAAACCAGTTGCCATAATTACTATGAATTCTGTCTCACTGGAGGATGTGGACTTACATCAGTGGTACAAATGACCTATGTTTGTTTTTGATTTGGGGGTGGGGGAGAAAGTGGGGATGGGAGTGGATAGGAGTACAGAGTTAGGACTATGGCAAGGTCAGGGCAAGACCTATGATTTCATTTCATTTTAGGGTTATAGTTAGGACTGGGGTTAATGTTAGGGGTAGAGGTTGGGTCAGGGATAGGTATAAGGCTTGGTCTAATTTTAGAGTTACATTTAGTTTTCTTTTGTTTTGATTTGTTTAGTCTTATCTTTTTCTTAAAATTTACTTGCTTTCTCCTTCCTTTGGAAGTTCTACAGATACATCATTCCTCCTTTTTTCTTCATGTTTTTGTTGCTGTTGTTACAAACTGGTATCTCTGGGTTCCTATTTTCAATCTTACAGATTTGTTTTACTTTGAATATGTCTATGTCTGGGTTGAGTTCTGGGTGATAGTGTCACATATGTTAATTGCAGGTTTTTGTTTGGTGTTGTTGGTTCTTTGTTGAAAGAATTCCCTCTAAAGTTGATCTGGTTTTTGCAAATTCTTTTGATTTTCATTCATCTGGAAATGTTCTAATTTCATCATTATATTTGATGGACAGTTTTGCTGGGTATATGATTCTTGATTAGCAATTTTTTTTTTTTCCTTTCAGAGTTTTATAAATGTCATCCATTGTCTTCTGTCTTGCATGATTTCTGCTGAGAAATCGGAGCTTAACCTTAATAGTTCTCCTTTGTAGGTAACTCTTCAGGATCTTTTCCTTGGCTTTGGTTTTGAAAAGTTTCATTATAAAGTGTTTTGCATAGTTTGTTTTGGGGTCTAACTTATTTGGAATTAATTTCACTTCTTGTCTTTTATAACGTTAGAAAAGAAGTTTTCTTCCAGCAACTCTTGCACAATTTTCTGGGGTGTTTTTTTTGTTTTGTTTTGGGGTTGTTTTTTTTTTTTTTGGTTTCTTCCTGTTCTGAAATTCCAATCACACATAAGCTATTTCTTTAGAGTCCCACATAAATCTTAGGCCTTGTTGTATTTTTTCATTATTTTTTTCTGATTATTCCTCTCAAAGATGAGTTTTGAGAGATTTGTCTTCAAGCTCACTGCTTTGACCTTCCATTGAGTCAATTCTACTTCTTTGCCCTTTCAGTGTATCATCTAATTCTGAAGTCTTAGTATTAATTTTCTGGCTTTCTAAATGCTGTTTTTGTATGGTTTTCAATTTGTTCTTATACTGTTTTCCTGAATTCTTTCTTACTTTTCTTGATCATCCTCTCAATTTCTTGAAGATACCCAAATAACAATCTTTTAAATTCCTTATCAAGTAATTCTAATACCATTTCTGGGATTACATTTTCTGACTCTGTATTTTGGTTACTTATTTGAGGCACTATATCTTGTTCATGTGAGCTGAATTTGTCTGTTTTCTCCAAGACATTGTGGTACTGATTGCATAAGCATATTTATATTTAATTGCTGTTTGTGTATTGGTGTGTTCTTAGGCACTCACTACTTGTCTCCTGGTAGTGACAGAGACCAGGAGTGTGAACATAATTCTCTGTTTGCTGTTTGTGTAGTTCAGGGTAGGTTCATGTGTTTCCAGAAGAAGGTGTAGAATGTTCAGCATCTGACACCAGGAGAGGCTGGGAAGGAGGGAGTACTACTGGGTGCTATGTTGGTGATGGTGGGATTGGCCATGGCCCAAGCTATTAGGGGGGCAAGGAACTCAGTGAGATCTGTACCCACCTTGTCTCCCAAGTCTAGCCTCATGCTGACATCAATTATTCTTTGGTCTTTCTGTATCTGCATCCACTTGTGAAAGTTCAAGATGGCCACACTGCTTCATGCCAGTTGAAAGCTTGCCTGTTTTTCTTCTGTCTAGCTGTTTCTGTTCAGGTTTCTGTTCCTGTCAGCACTCAGTCCACCTCTCTAGTGTATCTTCTGAAGCTCATGGTCCCAAGATCACCATCTCTATCTGTTCCACTTCTTCCTCATCTTTGTTGCAAAGGTTTTGCAAAATGAATTGCCCTACTCTGCCATCTTACCCAAGAGCTCATGTCCTCGTATGTTTGAGTCCTTCAGCCCATTCTCCACCACTTTGCATTTCTGTAGTACGGCCAACACAATAACACAAATACACATATCCCTTCTCTCTAATAAGGGCAGCCCTGATGAAAAGAAACTTTAGTTGTTTGGGTCAAGGAAACCTGTTTCAAATATTTTCACTAGAGTCCCAGTCATAGCATTAAATCAATTCTCAGATTATTTAATGCTTCAGATTAAAAACTATGTAAAATATTAAACATGAAAAATGAACTAGAGATTCAAAACCAGGGCCGTGGCTGCAGGAAATGACGGCTTGGCCCTGGCAGCTTCAATCATTGCCACGTGGTGACTTTTGTGTTGGTGACGCTCAGAATCCAAAAATTCTCTAGTGACTTCTACAGAGTGGGAAATGGAAGTGGTGAAGGGATCCTCATCATTTAGCTAAGCAGACCAGGGGACGGAAGAGCCTTGAGCCACCTATTTGCTGTCATCATGGCTGCAGCCAGAGAGGTGTGCCATGTCCCCACTGTGTGTAGTGCCACACTGTGCTCGCCAATTTGGTGCACCTGGCCTAGGACCTGTCGTGATCCCTTGGAGCTGTGGTCTCCTCTATATTTCTCAGGATGATTATTGTTTCAAAATAAGGTCATCTCCAATGGTAGAAGTTGTGCATTTCTACCAGGGCTGAGGTGACAGCCATGAATACACCACTGTCTTCACTTCTTCATCAGATGTGAATCTTCATTTTTGAAGAGCTGCTTTCAGGGGCTCAAACAGGTGAAAGTCCCAGGGAGTAAGATCAGGACTAAAGGGAGGGTGCTTTAACACGTCAAAATTAAGGTTTTGCAGAGTGTCGACAGTGTGGGCAGAGGTGTGTGGATGTGCATTGTCATACAAGTTCACAAGGCCCTTAAAGAGCAGTTTTCTGCATTTAATCCAAAGTTTAGGCTTCAGCTCTTCAGTGATCATCTCACTTTAAGGAGCACTGTTGACTGTTGAACCTTTTTCCTGAAAGTGTTCCAATACTGGCCCTTGAGAATCCCAGAAAACTGCAAACATCAATATTCCAAAGATGGTTGACTTTCTACTTTTTCTTGGTCTGCAATTGAGGATGTTCCCATTCCATACTCTATTATTTACTCTCAGGTTCATAGTGATGAACCCGTGTCTCTTCACCAGTAACTGTTTCTAATAAGCTTCCTTCAAGTATTGGTCGAAATTTTGTTTGAAGATATCCAAATGCTTTTGTTTATACTCTTCTGTAAGTTGTTTCGGTACCCATCTTGCACAAACTTTTCAAAACCCAAGTCTGTCACTGATTATTTCATAGGCACAACCATGACTGATTTACAAATGATTTGCCACATAATCCACTGTCACTCATCTATTCAACAGAATCATTTCATGTGCACGCTCAATGTTGTCATCAGTTGTGGACATGAACGGGCATTTTAATATAACTAGAGTGTGGATAAAACAAACAAACAAAATGAACTAGAGTCCCAAAGAGCAAAGTGCAGCACTTACCTTTCTCAGAAAGAATTTCAGGAGCTACATAAGTTGGAGTCCCACACACAGTAAATATAGGTCTTACCACAAGCTTTGCAAGACCAAAATCAGCTAGTTTCAAGGTAGTAGATTTGTCCTCATTTCGCTGAACCTGTAAGGAGTCAACAAATTGTGATGAGAACAAAGAAGGGAAGTTAATGAGAAAATCAGGATGCAAGTTCAGGATGTGCAAACTGTAAGCCTACATGAGTTTACAGAGCAGCCAAATGCTGATAAATCTAATTCAATCTCTGACAGATGCCCTGGTTTTCAACTGAAGAACAAATGAGTTTGATTTACTGTGATGTCCAGTGTGGTAGCCACTTGTCATTGATAGCTATCTAAAGTTAAATTAATTTAAATTAAAATTAAAATTCAGTCCCTCAGACACACTAGCTACATTGCAAGCAACCAAGAGCTCAGTAGCAGCTTGTGGCCACTATATCAAACAGCTCAGATAGAAAACATTTCCATTTTTGCAGAAAGTTCTACTGGGCAGTGTTGAATTCAAGCAAGAATTAATGATTTTTTGTTATATATGTTGTTGTTGTTGTTTAAAGTTTTTATTTTGAATTGAGTGAAAGTTTATAGGGCAGATAATCAGTTTTACATTCAACAAATCATATACTTTGTGTCATTACTATGATTATAATCCCTTCCATGTACTATCAGTTAACAGTATTTATCTCTATTCATTTTAGCCTTTTTTATTTTTTTAACATTCAGTCATACATAATAATTTAAACCACCAAAAGTCATAGTCTACAAGCCTTCCTCCTGGCTGCCAGTTCTCAGTCCCTCTCTTCCCATGGATCTAGAGTCCTCAGCTACTCCCTCTCTCCATGTCCTCATGTCTGCCTCCATCTCTGGTGTCGTTGCTTATCTGGATAGAGAAGCATTCTGCTTGTGCTCTTCTCCCTTGATGGTCCTAGGGTCTTCTGTTTCTGGACTGTAAGATTAACTACCCTCCCGGTTTTGTCACAAAACTTCTACCTTTACAAATGTGACAGTCACAATTATTCATGATAACTATTACTCACTATTGAATCATAAAAATCTTATCCCCATCTCTTTTCACCAGACCCATCTAGACAAGACAAAAACTATTCAGTGGGGACTCTATATTCCCCCTCACACTCTTAAACAAAGCAGACCAGCATGGAACAGCTAGAGCAACAGAAGATACATCTTCAAAGAAAGATCAGCAGGAAAAACTCAAAACAAAAATGGCAGTCTAACTGGCTACTACAAGAATAAGCAAGTTGTGCGCTGGGAAGCCATCAAGGCAAACAATCACGTCCCTTCAGGACAAACCCTCCTCTAAGATGGAAACTCAAAGGGAACACATGAGCAGGCATGTAAGCTTGCTAGCAACCACACTGGTCCACTGGTGAGTGGAAGAGGGGGAAAGATAGTAATGAAGAAATGGGCTGAGTTCAACCATGTTCCATAGACTCCCATTGACCTGGTGATGAGAGAAAGAAAAGGAAGGGCTGGTTGGTCTAAAGTGTGGTGAGACCTTGGGACACCTGAGTCCAAGGACAAGGACCTAGTCACAGAGGGCTAGAGCTGAGAGTGAAGCATCCAGCTGATATGAAAGGCGGGGAGATGCATAAGAGCACCCAAACTTGCAGACAGTACTCATATGACCTAGCCTCGATGTCTTAATAATCAGAACTTGACCAGAGGAAGATAAAAAAGAAAACAATTTTTGATAAAGGAAATGAGGGTAAACTGCTACAATTTAATGAACGTGACCTATACTCATAGAGGTTGCTGCTGCTGTTAAGAACCATGGAGTCGGTTCCGACTCAGAGTGATCCTGCACAGGGCTTCCGAGGCTGCAAATCTTTACTGGAGCAGAAAGCCTCATCTTTCTCCTGTGAAACAGCTGGTAGTTTCAAACTGCTGACCTTGAGATTAGCAGCCTGATTCGTAACCACTATGCTACCAGAGCTCCTTATACTCATAGAGGTAGTAGCTCAAAATATCAACAGAGAGGGAAGGAGGCTTCACATCAAGTACCAATGCTATCGCCTCTGTACACAGGGTAGAATGGAATGGGCAACTTAGACACTGGCTTCCTAAAATGAAGGGATGATAAAGGCACAAAGTGACCGGCTTACAAGTTTTCAAGAAAGAGTTTATAGTTTCAGAATTAATGAACTTTTGAACATTGACTAACTTTTGAACATACCTGTGGGTACTGAAATGCATAAGTTATAAAGAGGGAAAGAAAGAAAAAAGGAACTACATATTACACTGTGAAAGAAAGGCACACAAGCAATGAAGGGATGTTAAATACTGGGTCCCACTTTGGAAGGAAGAAACCCTGGTAGCACAGTAATT